AATAAAACTCAATTTTTTTCAAATTATTAAACCAAAATTATTGTTGATACAATTGAGAATAAAAGTTACATTTCTGAGGATTCACTGTTTAGTTTTTTAACATGATACCAAGAAGGGTAAGTTTTAGTAGGAAGTCAAAGATAGTTTATATTTTCAGTAAAGATTATCTAAACTCCTTTTTATATGTGAAAGCAAAAAGAATGCTGTGGTCCTGTGGGTAGCAAACCATGTACTAGTTCTGTGTTCTTGAATAGGTTCTTTTACTTTTCTATGCCTCCAAGTGTAGCAAACTGAAAGCTCTAGATTTGTTTGGTCTCTTCAGCTTTTTTGAAAGGAAAGCAACTAGGCTCAACTTCAGTACAGTAGCTAGATAGCTATTTTCCATTTGGTTCTCTGAGTTCTTTTTTTCATTTGTTTGTTACATCTTGGCCTCTGAAGGCATCTGAGTTTGTAATCACTCTGTTTAGCATATTTCAAGAATTTGCTGTCTTGCTTTTAAAGTTTCCATATTGCATATTATTCCCATTAAAAGTCCTTTCCAAACTTATTTATAAAGTTCTTCAGTGAAATAACTGCCTCTTAGGTCAAACAAGTTTTGGAAATACTGCACACTCCCTTTGGGAAATCATAATGCATATTGAATAATTGTAGCGGCAACCTGGTTGACTGCCATGGTAAACTCATCTTTCCTAAGTTTTTCCCAAGATTTTTTTGTTAATGGATTCTTGTACTTTATATGGGATGTAGTTTGGGAAACACTGAAACTAACTCAAAGTAATACAGTAAAATGCACATATTTAAAGTCTATACTTTGCCCGGTTTTGATTTAAGTATTCATCTGCTAAATGACACCACAATCAGCAAACATTTCCATCACCCCTAATGTCACATTTTTCCTACTGTCTTTCCCAGGCAACCACTGAACTGATTGCTATCACTGTAGTTGTGTTTTCTAGAATTTCAAACCCTTGTTTTTGAAAGTTTAACTCAACAATCTTCAGGTAATTTAAAATGAAGCATCTGTGATTTCTTAAAAATAAAAATACAGATGTCCGACAGATTTTATGTTTATGATAATTGTTGTACACTGTCAAAATTTCAGTAAAATGTAAAACCCAAATTGTTCTTTTAAAATTGTGTGTAATAATATATTGTAAATTTAAACACTAGTTAAAATAAAAAACAGATGAGGTTTTTTTTCCCCTGAAATTGAATCTAAAAAATGTAACTCCCATAATAAAAAGAGAACTAACCAACTCAAACTTTATAAGGAAGCAGTCACAGACAGAAACTTTCTTGTCCAGTTATCTGTTACTAAGATTAGAATACTCAAAGCCTTCTATAAATCATCTTAAAACAGAAAGACTGACTAAGTTACTCTGTGGGGCCTAGTCTTAGGGGGGAAAAAACCATTGGTCATTCCATATCTCCTCCTTGCCCTCGTTGTCAGTTGCCTGATAGGAGAAGTTAGGTAGAGAACAAACATACCTTTTGAAATTTTCTTTCTAATAATTGTAGGGAGAGTAAATGAGATTTTTTTAAAGGTGAATTTGACATGAGTAACATACTTCATTTAGAAGTATCACTTAAAAATTTCTAGTTATAATGATTTTTAAATATTTCCCAGGTTTTAAGTTGCTTAATAACTAACAGTTCTTAAAACTCTTTCTTCTACTTTATACTTAGCTTTTGATTTTCTGTACTGGAATGGAAACTACAAAGTAATATATCATAAATGTTATTTATATTCTAATATAGAAGTTTATTTTTATTTATTTTTATCTCTGTTTGAACTTAGCCGTGTTTTACATTATGTGTATATATACAATGCTATAAAAATTTCATTTTGCAGATGAAAAAATTTAATGGTTCTATGAAGGAATGAGTTATTTCAATAATGGCTATTTGAATATTAGCAATTGAAATAATAAAATGGTGAAATGAGAACAATTTTTAAAAAAATATCCCATAAAAATCTAAAGAAATGGTTAAAATATGTATCAAAGGTCTGGGAAATGTATTGCATAGGTCAAAATATCAGATGCTTTCCTCTCATGGATTGCAGTGGGGAGTGTAAAGTGGTATAAGCTGCCTTGGAAAATAGTTGATAGTACCTTGCAAAGCTAAATATAGTGCCAACAATTCCATTCCTAGGTATTTACTTACAAGAATTGAAAATATATGTCCACACAAAATCTTGTAAAATTATTTCTTAGCAGCATTATTTATACTAGCCAAAAGGTAAAAACAACCTAAATGACCATTGACAAAATGTGATACATATATACAATGAATATAAAAAGGAAAGAATAAGTTTTGGTATATACTGCAACATGGAGGAACCATGAAAACATTATGCTGAGAAACCAGTAAAAAAAAAAAAACAGTTTAAGAAGACCACATAAGGCCCTGGCTGGTTAGCTCAGTTGGGGCATTGTCTCACTGTGCCAAGATCATGGGTTCCATCCTGGTCAGGGCATCTGCAGGATTCAAGCAGTGAGTGTAAGATGGGGGAACAACAAACTGATCTCTCTCTCTCTCCCTCCCTCCCTCCCCCACCTCTGTCTCCCACCCTCCTTCTTCATATCACTTTAAAAAATAAATAGAAAATATTAAAGACCACATAAATTTTATGATTCAATTTATGTGAAAAGTCCAGCATAGCCAAATCTATAGATACAGAAAAATTAGAGGTTGCTGTGGCTTTGGGAGAGGGAATGGGGGGTGACCGATAATAGGTGCAGAGTGTTCTGGATGGCGGGGTTGGTTATATAACCCTATGAAATACTTGTAAATCTTACAAACATCTGAAGTTTACTTTTTAAGGTTTCATCCATTCTTTTTAATTTAATTTATTTATCTTTAGAAGGGAAGGGAAGGGAAGGGAAGGGAAGGGAAGGAGAGAAATATCAGTGTATGGTTGCTTCTGGTGCATCCCCTGCAGGGAACTGGCCCCTGCTGGGAACTGGCCTGCAACCCAGGCATGCAACCGTGATCGTGTGGTTCGCAGGCCCTAGCTCAGTCCACTGAGCTACACCAGCCAGGGCTGAAGCTTTTTGTTTTCTAATGTTTGTAGTATTTGGGGAAATAACTTCTTTTGATTTATTCTATATGAATAAATTCATCAGTGTCAGTTTCTAATTTTATATTTTGATTTAGTCTCCTTAAAAATGTGAGAATACAACAGTTGATTAGTGTATTTTAAATTAAAGGCTTACAGTATGGTACTGTGGGAATCTACATTTTGAGACCTAAGTACTATGCAAATAGTTAGGTGTCTGACTACCTTTGTGAAATCTTACTCTGAAGATAGTTCTTCTATCCACATTTCATGAACAGGCTGCAGTAACTGGATATAAACCCAGAGTGAAAGTGATTTCTCTGAAAACCATTCCCCACCTACGAAAGTATAACTGTTTGAAGTCCTGTTCTTTTAAATCTCGCTGTCTGTGACTACATTGTTGAAATTTGAAAGAGCTAGTTGTACCACAGACACGTGTTTAAAAAGGAATTGACTGTATTGGTGTAATCATCTGTAGGAGAAGAGAACCAGAACTTTTTGTAAAGCAGTCTTTTAAATTAATAGGAGCACTGACTTTCTGTTTATACTTTTAGTACCATAACCTTTAATACCATAACCCTTTAGGCAAAGTGAATCTTTTAAGAGAAGTATCTGTGATACTTGGAGTTTCCTAGTTTGGTGTCAAAGTAATTCCTTATCCAATTTTAAAATACTGAAAATATTTTGAACCAGATGCTTTTAATGTATTTATGTCATCTTGGAACAAACTGCTTTTTATTAATCTTATGGTACATTGATAAAAAACACAAAAACTAATATAAAATTATCCTATTAGAGTTTTACAATGCTAGAAATTAAATTTAATTGATTTTTATTTATTTATTTTTGTTTCTTTTCTTAACTAGGTCCTTTCTGATGTTGCTTGAGCTTACTCTTCTGCAGTTGATCCATCCCTGTTGGCCACATATTAAGTCCCATGACAGCATTAAGTTAATGTTCATTCGTTTTAGCTCCAGGAAAATATAGAAAAAACCTTACCTGTACATTAGATGACATTATTCCTTTTCATTTATTCTTAGAAACACCATTACTCTTAAAAATGATCATTTTATAGTTATTGTCACACCTATGGATTAGTCTACAATAAGAAACATAGTTGAGTTTTTGGAAAGTATGGGATTTATAAATTTGGTCTTTAATATTCACATGCATCTATAAACATTACAATAAATGAAGGAGCAGGCAGTTATTACTGCATAAGATGAAGTTTATTGTGAAACAGTAATATTTCCAATGTAATTGTTTTTTTTAAAATTTGGTTAATTTTTGGATTTTTCTATACTCTCAGTTGATAATGGTTTTTGAAGTTTATTTTATAAAGATGATTCATTTTACTGTTTTATGGTACCAGTAGGATGCTAAAATATTAAATTGGTGTGTTGAGTTATATAAATGTTTATATTAATCTTTAAATAATGAAATATTGGGCAGTTAGTTTTTGTAGTCCAGTGGTAAATGTTTCTGCTGGTTTGATACATAATACAGTTTCCCCCCAAAAAGCAAATGTGAATTTGTTGTGTTTTATCCTTTCTTCATGAACTACCCCTTAGCATCAGAACCAAATTTAAAATGAGCTTCATGGTGGAGCAAGATAAATCAGAGGTTTTCTTTTGTGTGATAAAAAAAAGACACAAAAACAATTAATAGAAATCCAAGAAATAGATACTCAGCAATGCATTTTAGTAAGATCTCTGAAGCATTGTCAGTGAATACAAGCATGATACTGACTAATAAAACTGTCAGGATTTGCCCCTTGGTGAATACTGACATGGTCTTTACCAGCAATATAGTATTATCAGGACTTCAAGTGTTAGAACATTATGTTAAACTGTGATTATAGTTTTAATGCTTTGTCTCTTTGAATTAAATTTGTATCCATAAAGATGTGCAGCATAATTGTTCATGTATTTATTTGCAGACTACAGTTTCCGTCGCAGCTCAGTAAATAGTCTTTCCCCTGTTAATGCTACTCTCTCTTCTGGGATTCCCAGCGTGCTTCCTTACACTTCACGGCCTTACTCTTATCCGAGCTATCCCTTGTCACCAACACTATCACTTGCTAATGGCAGCCATGTCGGACAGCGACTGTATATCTCCAATCAGGCCTCATTCTTCTGAAGAAAATACTGTAAACATGAGTATAAAAATTTCTTTGTAAAAGCATGCTGATGAAAATACTGTTTTATTTTAGAATTGGGTTTGCACATTTGGTTTTAAAATTATAAATATATATTTCAACATAGTGAAATAAACATCAGCCATGATTCAGAATAACCCAAGTTGTAGAACTTGTAAAAATAAGTTAAAAAAGTTACTCTGTGGTTTCTCTTGATAAAGGTATAACTACTATTCTTTTTAAACTTTGGGAACCTTAAATACCTCTAATTCCTGAGTGAGCTGTAAAAACCAGGAGTTTATGTTAAATGTTTGCATAGTAAGTTTGCTACATAGCATTTCTTAATAGTAAAGCACTTGCAGACAATGGTTATACTGGACTTGATTGCCAAGGATCACTATCTGTGTTAGAGATTGGAACAGTTATATAACCAGAAGCATCCAACTATTATGTAGAAAGAAATGAAGGGCAAAATGATTAAGATGCAAATTTTATTCAGTATTAGAGAAAAAAACAATTTACCATTGTGGTCCTTGAAAATAACTATAAATATTTTAGTTAATTATTTGTTATAGAAATAAATTCTAATTTTGCTGTTAATATATTTAAGGTTTTAATGGTTATGCTTTATTTGTGTTTTTGATATTCACTGTATAGTTTGAGTAATAAGTGTTACAGTTTTTAATGTTGAAATCATGTGTTGTTTAATTTTTGTACTTGAATTCAAATTCTTTTACATTAAATATGTGATGTTTCTCATATGCATGTGTTTTATTTTGATTATTACTCGGCACACAAACGCAGCTCTCACAGTCAGCCTGACCTTGTCTTGAGAAGAGTACACACTTCCTGGTATACAGTCACGAGCTCAGAGTCTTCATGGGACCGAAACAGAGGGCATTGCAGAAAACTGCTGGTTTTATGAAGCATAGTAATAAAAATCCTTTCCCAAGGCCAGTAGAAATAGTTTGTTGATGAACCCAGTGAAGTCTCCCTTTTTTACTTGTGAATAATTTGGGTTGTTTGGATTGTTTAATATTTTAGTAGTTTACATTTATAATGAGTTTCTAATGATGATTTACATAATTGAGACAAAAATTCACTCGATACTGACCTTAACTTTGTTGATCAACTCATTGTGTAAACTGTATGATGTAGGGTTTGCATACAATAGAGTATTAAATGGTTACAAATACTTCTACCAAGTTTCTAGCAGAAGTTATATGGAGAGCAAATTAGTCTCATTTTTTCCCATTCTTTAAGGAAAGTTCATTTCATATAACCATATACAATACTTGATTTTCCAGGTTACTGCCTTAGATTTTTCTAATTTAAATGAGCATAGATATTATACTTAGAATTCATTTGTTTTGCTGCATGAATTGCATAAATTTTGCCATTACCATAACTCAGGTTTACATTACTCCTTTAGCAAATGTACATTGAGTATTTTGTCAGTTACTTTGGTAATACAGTAACTGTATTACTGTGGCTTCATATTTACTCACAATTCTTTAAGTTGCTCCATTAAAATTTTACCCACCTCCATAGAAGGAACCCCATCCCCTGTTCAAATGACCGTATCCATACTCTCTCTGGCCAAGGCCAACTCTTGAGGCCTTCGTTTTGGGGAACACTTAAGGCCCTAAGCTACTGAGTAATTAACGAAAGAGCATGCCCCTCACATGAAAAGACATGCAGAACTTTCTCATCTTGATCTGCTGCTTCTTGTGACTGCCTCATTGTCACCGTACTCTGACCGGCACACAACAAAGCAAAAACACCAGTGACCAGAAACAGCGCAAAAGCACATCTCCCTCCTGCAGGCCACAGGGCACGTGGGTTGAACCAGTGTGTGCCTCCACAGAGCCAAAATGCAGAATTAAAATCACCAGTGCAGGACCTAGAGAGCATCTAGCTAATGTCCATTATTTTACAGTGAAAGAAACAGATCTAGAGAGGGTATACATGACTTGCCCAAGGTCATAGAACTAGTTAATAATGCAGATGGGACTGCAAGGCAAGAGCAGTATTCCATTTCATACTGGGCTTTTCGTTATTCTGTGATGGAAAAATAGGGTGTATGACCACAAAACAAGAAATCACATGTAATGCTTTCTCATGAAGACTCATGAGAAATGAAGACTCATGGACACATAGGGTAAAGGTGAGCAGTAGCATAAGCCTTTCACATAATCCTACCAGGGAGAGAAATAACCGCTATATTTTTTAGTCAAAACCTACAGATTTGGTTATTTCAGAGAAAAGTGGGATTTTTCAAAGCTAGTGAACTGTAGAAGGTTGTATAATTCCTTTTGCTTCTCTGGGTGGGCTGGTGCCACACATCCTTGACCAGACAGGAATGGTGTTCCTGCAGTTTCCCCGATTGCTGTCCTGCCCCCCCAACCCTCCACCCCCACCGGAAGGGTAACAGGCATTACCCAAAGATCAGGCACTTGGGTTCCAGTGGAGAGCTGCTCAGCAGTCCAATGGCTCTACCTCAGAAATGGGACTGAATTTCGGGAAAGGACCACCTTTCTAATAACGTGGCCAGTGCTGTCCACATCTGCTACGCAGCACAGTCATCAGTCACCCATGCGCTGGGAGATGAGTTCTCCAGCTTTGCTTTCCAGATGAAGTGACTGGGAAGCCATGGGTCTCTTTACCACCTCGAGCCACATTTTCAGTGACCAAAGATGGAGCTTTTAAAAATTGAATTCATGTCAGTCTGACCCTGAAATATTTAAATTTTATTAACCTTTGAGTCTCCTTTAAGAATGAGAACATTAAACAAAACAGAAATTTTAACACCCCCACACCGTTCCTTAGTTGTATTTATTAATATCTTTAGAAATACTTCATTGGAGTTTAAGTTGGGAGATTGATGTTCTGAATCCTTTTTTTCTCCCCAAATCATTTCTGTTTTTAAAAGTTTTAAAATGTATATTGTCTCTAAGGAGCTCAAGCACAGTAGATTATTATTTTTTAAATAACAGATTTATTGAGATAAAAGTCACTCTTTTGAGTGTGTAATTCAGGGATTTAGTATATTCACAAAGTTGCACATCCATCATCACCATCTAATTCCAGAACATTCATCACTCTGGGAAAAAAATCCTGCACCTATTTTCAGTCACTCCCCAGTCCTCCCTCCTTCCTGCCCCGGCAACCACTAATCTACTTTCTGTCTTTATATGTTTGCCTATTCTGGACATTTACTATAAATGGAATCATAGCATATGTGACCATCTGTGTGTCTGGCTCCTTTCACTGAGCATAATGGTTTATCGATGTCGCGTGTACATGAACTTCACTTCTTTTTATAATAGAGTACCATTCCATTGTATGGATGTATTGCATTTGGTTTATTCATTTGTCAGTTGATGCATATGTGAGTTTCTCCTACTTTTTGGTTGTTAAAGATAATGTTGCTATAAACATCCATGTACAAGTTTTCATGGATACGTTTTCAATTCTCCACTCAAGAGGATCGCTTTTTAATGGCTAGTCATCTTTGTCATAATTGGTTTGCAAGCAACCAAAAATTTGGTTGCAGATACTTTCTTTTTAAAAGGGATATTGCTCTTTTATTTCTCATACATGAAATCCATTTCTTTGAACTTCATTTTAATGGCCTTTAGTGCTCCTGTACTGAAACAAGGTGTTTTATGATGGACACATATATAAGTCTTACTGTGTGAAGTGACTCCAGCATGCTGTTCTCCATAAGCTAAAGGGCTGGGGGAAAAGTCAGTTCACTAAACCAGGAATGACTCAAGTGTTGATTGCCAGCTACAATTTCTTTATCACAACCTCTACTCTCTGAATACTGTGATGGTTAATTCATGTGTCCCCTTCACCAGACCACAGGTTGCCCACATATCTGGTCAAACTTATTCTGGGTATATCTGTGAGGGTGTTTTTGGATGAGAGTAACATTTAAATCAGTAGACTGAGTAAAGCAGATTGCCCTCCATAATGTGGATGGCACTTAGCGTAATACCTTGCACATGAATGGAGAATAAATGATAAAATACTCCTGACTTTTGACTAGGGTCTCTCTGCCTCTAAATGCCAGTAGAGGAGGACTCTACTGGCATGCTGGAGCCTACTGTAAGGGCCTGTTGGGCATCTTTTTCCAGCTGCACAATCAGAGAGAGCGCACTGGTAGTTGGAAGTTAGCCATGATGGAAATATTTCCACTGTGGAAATTGGCAAATGCTATAGACTAAATTTGGTTGGTTTTTTTTTTTTTTTACCCTTCATTGATTGCTGGTTATTTAAACATTCACTGGCACACTACTGGGAGAACTAGGTGTTTTCTTCTCCACTATTGTATCCTCCCCAAATAGGAAAGTCCTAGGCCAGTTAAAAGCCATCAATCAATATTTGTTGAATGAGTGAATAATTCAGTACCCTGTGTCCTCCAACCCCCTCAATAGGGCTTTGTGTTCTTTATCATCTAACTCCCATTATGACTTCACAAGAAGGGCATCGAGCAGTGGCCTGTTTATGAGTTCTGAGTGGGTTGCATCAATAAAAATATCAGTGTTTTTATTGATAATTGTTACTTCTGGATGGTCTATGGAACAATATTCTTCTCTCTTATCCCCCAAACTTTCTGGTTCTTCAGAGTCTACCTATTTCATTACAGCAAATCAAATGACCCAGACTGAGACAAATGGGACCTGACAGGAGGAAGTGAAATAGAGAGAATATATAAAAGAACCTATGCACCACAATGTTCATAGCAGCACAATTTACAATAGCCAAGAGTTGGAAGCAACCTAGGTGCTCATCAGTAAACGAATGGATCAAAAAATTGTGGTACATATACACAATGGAATTCTATGCAGCAGAGAGAAAGAAGGAGCTACTACCTTTTGCAACAACATGGATGGAACTGGAAAGCATTATGCTGAGTGAAATAGGCCAGGCATTGAAGGACAAATACCATATGATCTCACCTTTGACAGGAAGCTAAAGAATAAAACAAACAAGCAAACAGAATAAAAACAAAGACACTGAAATAGAGAACAAGTGGGCAGCGACCAGAGGGGAGAGGGAAGGGAACTTAAGGGGAAGAAGGGGGAGGGATCTTGAGGAACAAGTATGAAAGACACAGAGATGAGGACTGGGGGGGGGGGGAATGGGAGGAAGGGGGGAGACCGGGCGGGGGGGTGGGGTGGGATGGGAGAAATAGATTAAAAAAAATGTACTTGAAAAGTAACTAAATAAAATTTAATATTAAAAAAAAACTTTATGGGGAGCATACTTGTGAATGGGAATCGATTAAAGTTCCATTTGTGCCAAAAATCTGATTGAGGCTCTTCTGGAATTATTTTCTGTAGCATGCATAGAATATACATGGAGAACAGTCCAGGGCTCAGTGGAAGCTGTTGCCCCAGTTGTTAACTGTTGCCTGTGGGAAGCAGCACCATGCAGCACTAGGTTTTCCACATTGCGGATGCCCCATGC